AACGGGTAGTAAAACATGAAAGATACCAAAATGTTATTGGGTATCCAGGTGACGTAGTGAGAAACATGATAAAACCTTTTATTTGGAAGGGGCATAATTATATACCCGTAACTGGTAACAAGCCCTTTAAACTCAGTGATTTCAGGGAGTGAACAAACGATGGTGTGGCACAGTGTGTTCTAATCGAAACATATCCCGGGCTCAATGAGGTGCTGTTGTGATGACGTGCAGGTTTTTACCCCCAATGACTCATGGTTTTTCGGTGGCATGACAAACAGATGTCACATTGTTACAACCTTTCACCGTAATGAAATGCAAGACAGTGGCAAAGTTTTCGAGTGACAATAACGTATTCGAAAACCAGTGACAGGATTATTATACACAAAACATGCGCTTTTTTTTTTGAAAAAAATGTGACATCAGATTGGTTTTGTTGATGTGTTCGAAAGGGGTTTACAAGTGGTACTAAAACTTTTCTTCCATCTCAGGACATTTCAATGCTCAATCATTAATAGTACCAAAAAAAGGGGACGGGCAACAGACCAAGTAGGTAAATTTTTGTTTGTCTGTTGTCAAAAAACTCAAAATGAAGTACCGGGTAAAAAAACACCTCTATACAACAGGGTCCTCGAATTCCTCAGGATAACCCAAGCGTTTAGGGGGAAGGTGATATTCATAATACAACTTTTCAACTCAGAAGAAATTTGCTCGGAAGAGATGCTCGTCTGTGCACAAACAAAACAGGGAAACAAAGTTCCAAGACATGGGTTTGTGTGAGGAATGTAAGGTCCCCTCTTGCGGGGGCCTTTTTTCAAGGATTCCACAAGCTCCAGCATTCAAAAACATGTCCGTGATTGAAATATGTAAATATATATAAAAACATTAGTATTATACAAGATTTTGTGCATGTTTATTGAAATAAACAACAGGGGTAAAAATAATAGAAAAACTTTAGTGCGGTTATTGTGTTAAATACAGTGATTTTAAATATAAAACATTATATACAGTATTGGGGTCTCTCACCCCCAAAAATGTTAGTAGGAATAGAAAAAAATTGGAAAAGAAAAGAAAAAACAATAAAAACCCGCAAAAAAATTAATGCGCTAGGGGGAATTGTCTGGGGCCCCCACCCCATCATTTTTGACAAACCCTTCTTGGACTGTTTCGGTAAGATGACAGATTTTTTTTTTTTTTTTTCCTTCACAAAAATATGCTTTTAAATTTTCTGTAAGAAAAATAATTTTTTTTTTTTTTCAAAATTTTTGGGACATGGAAAACACCACTTCAGATTTTGGCCTTGGCCCTAAAGGGGTTAAGGCAAAGAAAACACAAAAAAGTCAAAGCATCACTGCCCGAATCAGAAAGTTTTGTGAACATCACCTGTATCTCTCCATTCCAGATCTGGTTGATGCCTCAAAAAACTGTCAATGTTTAAACCAAAAAAAAATACCACTTGGATGACAAAGTACAAAAAAAATTTAAATTAATTTTTTTTTAAAGGGAAATAGTGTGATTATTACAACACAAGAAAATGCTAAATCCATTTGGCCATGCAGCAACTGGAAACTGGGAGGTAAACAAATCGATCCAAAGAAAAGGATGGTACCCTGATTCTTTAGCCAAGACCCTTTTACCAGCAAAACGATAACCACTTGAAAGAAAGTCACCATTTAATACAAAAATTGATGTATGTACGTGTATAAAAACTAATTTTAAAATGTTTCTTTTCAACATACCTGATATCAAACAAGCTTCCCTCCTGTTACAAGAATGACCCGGACAGCAAGGGGAGCAATTCCCCAGAGGGTAAAATTGAAAATACCACATTCTTTTTGGGGGCCCTGTTTGTCCAAGCCCGGCATTTCTTTTTTGCCCGAAAATTGCATCACAACAATATTTACATCTGGAAAATAAATTTTAACATGTCTATTTTCATTGCAATGAATAAACAGACTTTTTTTTTAAAAATAAAGAGGGACTGAAAATATAAGTACAGTAGTCCCTCAATAATCGTCCATAATTTTTCCCTTCCTGGAAATGCGACTATTATCGAAATGGACAATTTTCGAATCAATTTTCCCCATAAGAAATAAAGTAAATCCAATTAATTCGTTCCGACATGCACAAAAAAATGAACATTCAACATGACAGTTACCTTTATTGAAGGTGTTGTTGATGATGGAGGGGAGAAGGGGGAAAAGAGGTTTTTTTGGAAGGGGAATCCCCCTCCATAAGGACTCTAGGGGGACTAATAAAATGTATAAATGAAATTGGTAATAGGGGGATTGATGAGTGGGAAAATCTGCCTAGTAGGTGATCGAGCTAAAACATGGGTATTTCAAAATTTTGGTTGGATAAATAACGATGAGAGGGGTTGATTTTAGTGGCTTGCACCTGAGTTATTGCTTTGGGGAGCATTTGTTCTGTTAGTGGGGTTGGGTTTTGTGAAGGACCGGCCTAAGTTGGGCCCGCAGGGCCCGTTCCCAGGTTCCTACTTTCTTAAGCTCTTATTTAACATCACACTACCAGTAGGGTGATCGAGGCTAGGACCTTGGGTAGCTTTAAGAAGAGATTGGACAAATATATGAGTTGGAGGAGCCGAGTTTGATTTGTGTCATTGGGTACGGGAGTAAATTCTTGGGTAGCTTTGGGTAGAGGTCATTTTGATAAGGACCTGCCTTGTATGGGCCAGTAGACCTGCAGTGTTCTTCCATTGTTATGTTCTTATTGGCTATTTGTTTGTGTGAGGGAGGGATGGGAAGTTTATTGTCTTAGAATATGACACTAATATCAACTCTATGGCTTATTTATCTATCACAATTCAACTAATATGACATAATAAACAATATTAATAACATAGAAACATGGAATATACTCTAGAATGAATAAAATAAGTCATTACATAGGTCACAAGAGGTGTTGTGTTGTGTTGTTGTTGTTGGGTATACAAGGGTCACTGAGTGTAAGCCGTCCATAAATGGTGGTGAGGCTGCGGTGTTTTCTGTAGCCCTATATAACTCCAACACCATTGGAGGAGTTGGTAGAAATGTTGACAGGTACCTTCTATGACAGGAACCATTCTCTGGACCCACGTTCCCTTAGCTTTGGGTTAAGACATGGCCCAGTTCTACACTCCTCTCTAGTGCTAAACGTCCCATGTCCCTCCCTCCCCGCTCACCCCACCGGAGTCCCAACAGAAGAGCCTGAATTTCTCTTCTCAATATCTGTCCCACAATCGCCTTTGCTGCTGGGTTAAGCCCTGGCTCTATTTCTACAACTAAGAACACTCCTCTCCAGCACTATTCTTTGTCTGTCCCATCTTCCCCGCTCATCCCATTTGGGATCTTACCTGAACTTTCATTCGTTCGTCGTTCAAGGAGTTGGTGGAATCGCTGAATCACTAAAGAAGGAACCCTCTACCACCATCACTACGACCTTCTACCACTATTACAACTATTACCACTATCACTACTATCTTCTACCACCATCACTACCACCAAAGAAAGCTTCTAGTGCCAGCCCTTTGGTAAAGATTGTGAGAAACGCATAATTTATGAAAAAGTTTGTAGAAAAATACAAAGATGGTGGTGGTGGAGTGGAAGCAGTTGTGATAGTGGTTGATGAACATAAGAACATAAGAAAGGAGGATCACTGCAGCAGGCCTGTTGGCCCATGCTCGGCAGGTCCTTTACAATTCATCCCACTAACGAAACATTTTCCCAACCCAGTCCTCAATGCTACCCAAGAAATAAGCTCTGATAACTCTATCCAATCATTTGGGACTTGCAAATGAGTGGATAGAGTTATCAGAGCTTATTTCTTGGGTAGCATTGAGGACTGGGTTGGGAAAAAATGTTTCGTTAGTGGGATGAATTGTAAAGGACCTGCCAAGAATGGGCCAACAGGCCTGCTGCAGTGATCCTCCTTTCTTATGTTCTTATGTACATCAACCACTATCACAACTGCTTCCACTCTACCACCATCTTTGTATTTTTCTACAAACTTTTCATAAATTATCCGTTTCTCACATTCTTTACCAAAGGGCTGGCACTAGAAGCTTCCTTTGGAGCCATGGTAGCTTATTTAGCACTTGCAAGCACTAAAATCAATGGAATATTATGAAATATTTCGTAGGAGCATGTGAGGGGACCGTCACTCACTGGTAAACAATGGCACACTGGCTGGGAAGGCAGGCCCAGGCGGCTCAGAGCGTGAGTTCCCGTCCTGGACGAAGGACGAGATTAGCGAGTTAACGGACCATTTGCGAGCCAATATTTAGACGAAAAAACAGGACTATTCCGAAATGGACGACTTTCAGGCCGGACGATTATTTAGGGACCACTGTATATAATATATTTTTTTTCAACACACCGCCATATCCCACCAGGGGTA